GCATAGGCAGGAAGATATTTTATAATATGATAATAATTTGGCAGGAAGATATTTTATACTATGATAAATTTTAAATTAATATTTGGCAGGAAGATTTTTTGTACTATGATAAATTTTCAAATTCTTAATGGTTCTTTATATTATCAATAGTATGATTATTTTGCTTAATCCATATAATTACATTAAAAAAATTTGGGAAAAATAATAATGCTTGATTGGTAGTAAACATGTGTGCATAATTAAATTTCATTTAAAACACCTTTTAACTTGACTTTAATATTCTCTTTATATTAAGCAGTTTGTAGTCGATTCGTTTATAAGCGGTCTGGTTCATAAACAATTCGGTTTACAAGCGGTTCGGTTTATATATGGTTCGGTTTATATACAGTCCGGTTTATAAACAGTTCGGTGCAAACGAGTCGCGGGTTGTAAACGGTTCGGTGTAAACAGTTTTTATCCCGGTTTAAACAGTTTGGGGTTGAAAGCGGTTTCGGGATAGAAACAGTTCGGTTCTTTTTCGATTCGGTTTGATTTCAGTTCGGTTTAGAACTGGTTCGGTTCATTAACGGGTTCGGTTCTTATTCAGTGTAACGTAATTCGGATCGGTTTGGTTTCGGGTTCATTCACATACGGTTTGGGCCGGTTTTCGGTTTTTAAAAAACGGTTTTTAATCGGTTCGGATCTGTAGGCGTCGCTCGAAGTGCGCCTACGTTAAAGCATGTGGTGAATATGCTTGGCACTCTTAAGAAGTGGGAATTGACGGTATACGATTAGGGACAAGGAAAGTAGGGAGCCGCCAACAAGTTTTTAAGGAACTTGTAAACCGTTCACGGATCATAAAAGGCAACCACGATAAAGGGACAACGATATGCAACAACGATTGACCCATGAAGGTTACACCCCATTCAAAATCCATGAGATTACTAACTTCATATGGTTCGGAACCACGAAAGGAGGATCGGGGATGATGGTACGAAGTGAGTCATGGAGTCACATTCGCCCGTATTGGCCTCTACTCCATTCTTATAGTGAAAAGTGATTCATGTGATCTCAACGGCATGCAAACAAAGATTCAATTTGCTCCAAACTATTATTAAGCTAAATTGGTAGAATATTGTAGACACCTAAAAATGTCTCCCCAAAACCAAACCTGATGATGAACAACCTTTCACCGCCATTATTGGTCGGGTTGAGTATTTAATATTTGGAGTGCTTAAATCCATATTTCCATTTCATAAACCAACCCAACTTTTAGCCCATTTCCCCAAATCATAACTTATTTTCCTCTTTTCGTGCCTTTAAACCCAAAATAATTCATTTCGTTTCCTTTAAAATCATTCATTTCGTGTCCTTTTTATAAAAACGTTTAATCCTATTTATTTTGGTCCATAATATGGGTCCAATGATTGAATATTTGGATGGGGATTTAAAAGAGTTTTCCAACAATATATTATAAGCCCAAATATGAGTTGTAACGAATAAGTTATGGCCAAAATATTAAATTGAGCCCAAACCGAACCTAAGCCCACCTTACCTACGACCCAATGATCATGTGGAGGGTCCAAATGATTTAATCCAATTCCTAAATCAATTAGGATTAATTGGAAGCTTCTATAAGTTTCTACAAGATCCTAATTATCCGTTTTGAAAAGATAAGATTAAAGAGTTTGAAATTGAATAAAACTCCTTTTTTGAAAATCCTATTTCTATCCAAATTGAAAGACGTTCAAAGATAGTCAGATATTATTTTCGTGTCTCATAGTTTTTATCCAAATTTTATATGGTTGGATATCCCTTGAAATTATCTTTCCCATAATATATTATAATATCAATTCCGAGCTGTAACGGAAAAGATATGAATAAAATGTCAAACTCTATCCAAAACTGACACCGTCTCACTATTTCGGCTATATCTTTTGTTCTAAAAAATATTTTAATCTGATTCTAATTGGGTTAGAAATTAGACTTCAAGATATTTCCAACGATATATTATTCATCTTATTCCGCTTTGTGGATCAAAAGATATGATAAAAACAAAAACCGCAAAAATTGTTGTCCATCGCAAGAGTTTTATCCGATTCGAATTCTTATCTTTTCTTGATTCTTCGACCTTCTTTTTTCTCTATAAATAGAGGTCATATCTCCCCTTTTCCGATCATCAACAAGCTTGATCATCAAATACTTCTCTCTTTCTCTCTTTTACACCAAAAATCATTCTCTTATCTCTCTCTCTCATATTCTAAGCCTTAAACCTATATTCCTAATTACACCATTCTTCCTTAAGCACTATAAGGAGTCCATACTTAACCCGAGGTTTCGTCCTTAAACCAAGGCGTGAAAGGTATAATTAACTGAGGGTTTGGACCAAATCAACTCTACTTTTATTTAATTTAATTTAATTTTCATTTGATTTATATTTTAATTGAAGTTACTAACAATTTATTCATGATATAGCAATTTAAAGGAACGCGCAAAATGTGAGTAATTAATTAATTTAATTACTCTTATTTTAATTTTTATATTTCTAGCATCATGATTAGATTATTATTATTATTTGATTTGACTAACAATTTATTGTTAAATTGCTTATAATATTAATGGTAATTCTATTATATTTTTTATGATCACCATATTGCATGTTTAAAGGGAATATGTAATTGAAAATCACGCCTAATAAGATAATTTGGACAACCGGTTTAGGTTCCTTTTTAATCTTGTTATAAATCAAGTGATCACAATATTTTAGAATTATTTGTTGCATTAATATTCAACCAATTTAGCTTAATAATAGTTTGGAGCGAATTGAATATTTTGTTTGTATGCCTTTGAGATCGCAGGAATCACTTTTCACTATAAGAATCGATTAGAGGCCAATACGGGCGAATGCGACTCCATGACTCACTTCGTACCATCATCCTCGATCCTCCTTTCGTGGTTCCGAACCATATGAAGTTAGTAATCTCATGGATTATGAATGGGGTGTAACCTTCACGGGTCAATCGTTATTGCCTTCGTTGTCCCTTTATCGTGGTTGCCTTTTATGATCCGTGAACGGTTTACAAGTTCCTTAAAAACTTGTTGGCGGCTCCCTACTTTCCTTGTCCCTAATCGTATATGTCAATTCCCACTTCCTAAGAGTGCCAAGCATATTCACACCATGCTTTTACGTAGGCGCACTTCGAGAGACGCCTACAAATATTAATGCAACATGTAATTCTAAAATATTTTTGATCACTTGATTAACAACAAGATTAAAAAGGATCCTAAACCGGTTGTCCAAATTATCTTATTAGACGTGATTTTCAATTACATATTCCCTTTAAACATACAATATGGTGATCATAAAATATAATAAAATAAACATTAATATTGGAAGCAATTCAACAATAAATTGTTAGTCAAATCAAATATAATATAACCTAATCATGATGCTAGCAATATTAATAAAAATAAGAGTAATTAAGTGATTAATTACTCAATTTTCCGCGTTTCCTTGAATTGCTACATCATGAATAAACTGTTAGTAACTTCAATAAAAAAAATATAAATCAAATTGAAACAATTAAATTAAATAAAAAGTAGAGTTGATTTAGTCCAAACCCTCAGTCAATTATACCTTTCACGCCTTGGTTTAAGTATAGAACCTTGGGTATTATATGGACTCCTTGGAGTGCTTAATTAGGGGAAGTATTTTGAGAGAATAGGGTGGCTAGTATTTAGGCTAAAGAGGGAGAAGAGAATTATTTGATGATCAAGATTGTTGATGATTGAAAAAGAGGTGATATGACCTCTATTTATAGAGAAAAAAGAGGGGTCGAAGAATTAAGATAAGATCCGAATTAAATCGGAATAAAACTCAATATACTGCACTTTTTGCGGTTTTTATTTTTATCATATCTTTTGATCCAAAAATTGGAATAATATTAGTAAGATATAGTTGTAAAGCTCTTGAAGTCTACTTTCTAACCCAATTAGAATGAGATTAAAATATTTTATAGAATAGAAGATATGGCCGAAATAGTGAGACGGTGCCAGTTTTGGATAGAGTTTGATATTTTATTCATATCTTTTCCGTTATAGCTCGGAATTGATATTATAATATATCATTGGAAAGGTAATTTCAAGGGCTATCCAACCATATAAAATTTGGATAAAAAACTATGAGGCACGAAAATATATCTGTCTATCTTTGAACGTCTTTCAATTCGAATAAAATTAGGACTTTAAAAAAAAGGAGTTTTATTCAATTTCAAACTATTTAATCTTATCTTTTCAAAAAGGATAATTAGGATCTTTTAGAAACTTATAGAAGTTTCTAATTAATCCTAATTGGTTTAGGAATGGGATTAAATAATTTGGACCCTCCACATGATCATTGGGTCGTAGGTAAGGTAGGCTTAGGTTCGGTTTGAGCTCAATTTAATATTTTGGCCATAACTTATTCGTTATAACTCGGATTTGGGCTTATAATATATCGTTGGAAAGCTCTTTTAAAGCCCCATCCAACTATTAATCATTGGAACAAGATTATGGACCAAAATAAATTTGACTAAACGTTTTTATAAAAAGGACACAAAATGAATGATTTTAAAGGACACGAAATGAATTATTTCGGGTTTAAAGGCATGAAAAGAGGAAAATAAATGACGGTTTGGGAAAATGGGCTAGGAAATGGGTTGGTTTGTGAAATGGAAATATGAATATAAGCACTCCAAGATTAAATACTCAACCCGACCAATAATGGCGGTGAAAGGTTGTTCATCATCGGGTTTGGTTTTGGGGAGACATTTTTAGATGTCTACAGGTTCTCATCTGGGTCGGTTTGTTTCGGGCAGTTAAACGGTTTCGGTTTGAAATTTGACAACACTAGTATTTAATGATCATATACACTCAAGAACTCCGTTTGACTCATTAGCCAACTACGAACAAAACTTTATTGACCCGACTCGATTTTAAGCTACCTGTTGATAACTTTTTATATACTCCGTAGAAAGGTTCAAAGGTAAACCAAAAGAACAAAGGCGTATAACAAAAGGAACTGCCCATAAAAAAGGGGCAGAGTGGAATTTGTGAAGCTGAACTTTTTGGAGAGACAACCAACACAAAGTAGCTATGGCGCGCTCAATCTCCTACATCACCGGCTCACAGCTTTTCTCCATCAAACAACGTCCCAATATCGCCATTGTTGACGTTCGGTAACACCATTTTCTCTCTTCTCCTCCATTGCTATCGAATCACTTTCTAATGTCGAACAACTTTGATAGTAGTCTTGATTTTGTGTATTTAATGGCAGGGATGATGAGCGAATTTACGATGGTCATATTGCTGGATCTCTTCATTTTGCTAGCGATACTTTCTTGGATAAAATCCCTAATCTTGTTCAACAAGTTCAAGGCAAAGATACCCTCATCTTTCACTGTGCTCTTAGCCAGGTAATTGTAATTTCTGTCTATTTGGTTGTTTTGTGTTATAAATTGCGACAATTTTTGCTGAATTATTGTAGCATTATTTATTACTATTATTGGGTGATTATTGTTTTTGAATGCAACTATAAATGGGTTATTGATGCTGTAGCATTTTTTTGATTGGTAGTGTTTGTGATACTAATTGAAAAACCCTATCGCCATCTCGGTTTGATGATTTAGTAAGCTGTAGGAGTTGCCTCGTCTAATTCAATCATAATTGGTTATGTTAAACAAATCGAATTATGCATAATTATAATGCTATTAGTTATGAAATCCTGTACTCTAGAGGGATTAGTTTCCCTTAGCCTAGGGTTACTAAGTTTCATGGTGGTACATGGTTTACGGGAGAAAGAGGAGTTCATGCTTGGATACCTATTGCTCGAGGCAATTTTTTTATTTTATTTTTTTTTTTTTTTTTTTTTTGGCAGTTGTGAGAACAAGTAGGATAGAGTTAGGGCCCTTTCCTTGCCTTAGTAGCCAGGTTATGAGCCCTTGTCACCCTATTCCTAGGAACATAGCTACATTTAAGATACACAAGGACTTTACATAAGTCAAGAATATCGGAAACCAAATTCTTGAACTCCTTTGGTGCCGTTCTTGGATTCTGCAGTGCAGTCACGCACACCCTGTTATCAGTGAGGATTTCCAGCTGTTCTGATTATGCCTTGCCTGCTTCTATTCCCCTCTTGATTGCTATCATCTCGCACTGTAATGCTGAGCTTCCTCTTATCCTTTCCATGCTTTCCTGCACAAGCTCGCTCCCTCTTCGTAAGACTCAATTTATTCCTGCTTGATCAAGCCCAACCTTTGACTCCTTCCAAGCTCCATCCACTGACACACTTAGCAAATCCTCCCTTTCCCCTGCTCGTATGCTCCAACTAGTGTCAGCTCCTCTGTCTTGGACTTCTTTGATTTCCAGATCTGTGTTTTGCCCATATTCAAGATCTTCCCAGTTTCCTCTCCCTATTTTCAAGCATGCCTCATTCACCAGGTCCATATTGGGCTCGGGCTCACTCCCTGGAAGATAACTTCATTTCTATGCCACCATATCCAAATATGGGCTAACAGAATCTGAGCTAGCTTGGTCTCATTGTTCCCATTTTTTAGAACATTTGCAATATTATTTCTCAACCACCTTTCTATTGGGATGTGATCCTCCCCTCTAAGCATTTTCAATCTTCCACAAGCCCTAATTTTTCTAGTAATCAATACTAGTGGTAGCCACTTGAGCACATTTTAGCCAAGGTTACCATTGTTGATCACATACTTCCATGTATAGATCTTGGGACTTGGCTCTACCTTTGGTCTTTGTCCCATCAATTTGTTTTTGCAAGTCCAAATTGCCTATTCATGGTCATTAGGAGCAGCTAATTTGCAATCTGAATTTGGGGTAGAGATGTAGCGTAGCTTGACCTAGCATGCATATGGTTTGTTTACTATCTTACAATGTGTAATTTTTCTGCAATTTTGCCTACCTGCTCTTGGCACTTGTATTTTGCTGAGGGTTTTGGGTCCACTATGTTAGACATTCCACTCTAATAGTTTTGGGGAAAAACTTGAAAGAATCTTGATTAGCACTGATATGCTTATACATCAGAAAGGAAGTGATATGTCATTGTACCTACAAAGGAAGTAAATGCTAGAAAGGCGAGATCCTTATTCACATGAAAACAAAAAGGTACTAACAGGTTAAATGAAGTCCTTGACTAAGACTGAATGCTAGAATGCTCTAATAAAATGTAATTTAGCAGCAAATTATCTGCAAGCCACTCCTATAGTCACAATTAAGCTTTATTATCTCCTTACTTCAGTAGTCTTTTTGTCCTTTCCTCTAAAGAAATGGCCTACAGACCTTGACTCGCAACCTGTTTGGTTAATGATTTAGGAGGGAAAGAGAGGTGAGTTGATGAAAGAGAAAGGGAGGTGATAGGATGGGATGGAGCACAACTTTTCTCTTGTTTGGATAGGATTGAAATAGACGGAAGGGAAGGGAAAGGTGAGCAAAACTTGAATTTCCATGACAAGTGCAGTCAGTTTGGTTGTTTCTCAACTTTCCAGCAGTATAGCCTAAGCTTGAGTTAATAGAAATCATAGCATGTAGTTTGCTGATAATTAGGTGGAACACTAAGGAGGGATAAAATAACCTAGGAGGGTTTCAGATAAAAGGGAGAAAATGACAATTGGGATTTAAGATAAGTGAGTGAAGGAAGGAGAATGGTTGGACGTAACATGGATGGAAAATAGTGAATAAACACAAGGTATTAATAACATAATAAGGTAGAGCCGTCTTTTCTGTGTTACTCTATATTAAGTTAGGAGGTTTTCAGAAAATAACAATTGGGATTTTAGAAGTGAAGGAAAGAAAGATATTGCCAATGGGTGGATCTAACATGGAAGGGTAATGGTGAGTATAAACTAGGTATTAATAAGGCATCGTATATTCTTTGCTACTCTGTATTAAGTTTTGTGGCTGTCATTTTCCTTTGAAATCTTTCCAAATTCTTTTTTCAATTTATTTTTTTGACACATTAAAAACTTTCCAGTTTTAAAGAAATATACTCCCTCCTTTTTTAGTTGACACATTTTGACTTTTGACAATGTACAATTCAATTGGCTGGTTAAATTCAATTTTGACCTCATGCTTCATGCTTTCAGGCTTTCAGCTAACTCGATCTGAAGTAAAATAACATGAAGAATTTTATTATCTTATTTTGATTCATATTAGCCATGGAAAGTAAAAGAGAATATATATAAGTAATATCGGGTACTTGTGTGTAGCTAAATGGCGAATCTGGCAAACGGAATTTAATTAGAGAGGGTTGTTCTTCAGCTTCTTCCTCATTTTTGTTCCTATCTTAAGAGACACAAAAATGTTTTTTAGTAGTTTGTAATTTGGTATAGGGCTTTATACTTTGGAAAATGTTGTTAATCATACTTGTATTTGTATAAAGAAAGGGCTAGGTACTTGGCTTCTGTGTTCCATAGATGGGGCATATTAAGTAGAGAGAATATGTATACTGTGTACATACCCATGTTAAGTTTATACATTAGACAATATATTTGAAGCCTCTTGACAGTATAATCTGATCCCTTAACTCTGATTGTAAACTATGTAAAGCTATTATGCTTTGGTGTTGATTATCAGATTTAGTCACCTGGATGTTCAATCATTTGATGCTCCTTGCATGGGGGCCATACTGATCTATTAACAAGGAATATACATGTGATTCTCATATACACATATGACATATCCTGTTATTGGTGGGCTGTGGCCTGTGAGTGGCGGCATATTATCTGGGCAGGCTATCGGCTATGACTCTTGTTTCCTCCTGGAACCATCCCCTGTCCTGGTGACACTACAGTAGTACAGTACTACACCACGTACTATGTACAGAAATGTCTATTTGAGTCTGTAGGCTTGGTATGTTGGCAAGAGTTGCACCAGATTTTCAGATCATGGCACATTTAAGTTAATTTTAGAACTTGGCTTCTCCCTTCTCAAACAATAAAAGAAAAACATTGAATTGCCTTTATTATACAAAACAGAACATGCTACTTATAAGTTGGTATTTACATAATTACCGGTGTTTGTAAGTTGGCATTGACCTTGTTTCTTATTTAGTGTATTGTAATTTTCAGTCATATTAGGTTTTGTAAGATTTGTCTCAACGTGCACTTTCCAAATATTTAATTTTCATTAATTATGATAAAAAGCAATTAAAGATATTTAGTAATAAGTAATTGGAAATTAATAGTTCTGGTGTGGTATAGTCTTTTCTAACATAATCTGATTCTTAGCAAGGACATGTAGAAGAAAAGGGTAGTTGTGTTTTTCTTATTTTTAACCACTGCCAAAAAAAAAAAAACATTATCTGATTCTGACAAGGATAAGTAATAAATTTGTGAAATAAGCTGAAGAGAGCCTGTTCTTTAGTTTGCCTGAAATTTGTTTTATTTAATATATTTAGAGTATTGCTCCTATCTATTTTGGATGTCTCAATGGAGCAATGTAATAGAAAATAATGGTGAAGGGGGTGATGGAAAGAAGTTAACCAAATAGGGCATAATACTTGGATAATAATATAGACCATCAATGTTGAATGTGCCACTAAAGGAAGTTTAATCAAAAAGATATGGTGGGAGTGGCTTGATGTGTATAGTGACTTTGTTTCCGTATCTACGATACCAAAAGATGATTTATTCATTTTACAATCTTAAAATTGTCTGCTGGTATTCTTCATTCTCCAAGCGTAAGTGTCAGATTGACTGATTAATGAATAATGATCTATTGATCTTATATGGTCTTTAGGTTCGTGGTCCAAAATGTGCACGGAGGCTGTCAGAATATCTAGCTGAAGCAACTCTAGATGCTGGAATAAAAAATGTAATGGTTCTAGAGCGTGGTTTTAATGGATGGGAAGCTGCTGGTAGACCTGTTTGCCGCTGCACTGATAATCCCTGCAAGGCTGAAATTGTGTAGTGTGGACATCTTAGCTTGAAGACAATGTGTTCTTAAACCTGCTCTATCCAGCTCATGGGTCATTTATATGCTACTATTTTGTGACATGTAAACCAATCACTTTATACATAATTTTGAATGCGGTAAATTATTGATTGTAAAACTTCTTTCAGCTTGCAGCATTAAACAGTTAACACACAAGATAGACCTGAAAAAGAATGATAAATGTAATGTGGAGATTTATTTCAAAGCAAATAAAATTTGGAAATTTGATATCTTCATTGTTCTTTTATTGTTGTCTATTTGAATGCTATTTTTGCAATATAGTTTGAGGTATATTTAATTCCTTGCCTAAACTGGTAGTAGAGATAGCGATTTAACTGTTATTGTTCTGGAATTTTCTGGTTTGCCTCCAATGCCCAATACTAGTAAACACTAATACTTCCTCTTAGGTGCAGAAGGAAGCATGCAATTATGTAAACAACAAATTTCTGATGACTTAATTTTATGTGAACTAACTTAATTTATTTCAGTTACTAGCTACTACTCTCAAGAATCATCAAGCTTAAGTCTCCTCTAGGCTATACTACTCGGAGGAATTTACGCCTGCCGTTTTTCTAACCAGACAGAAAATCTTCCAAAATGGTCAGTTTTCTCAAGCCAGTCAGATAATTCAAACATAGTAAAATTCCATATAAAGTCTCTTTAAAGTAATCAGCTGCAAACATAGATTTGATTGCCTAAGATATTAACTTAATATAGTCTGAGATTGCTACATGCCTACATGTAAGGACTGAATTTGGACTAGCATAAATTATTTCAATGCATTGGAAAATATTAATGTTGGTAGCAAAATAATGAAGCCAGAATTACTAGGAAAGGATTGATAAAACCCGTAAGTTGAGATGCTAAAAACTGACCCGACCAAATCCAAAGTGAACAGATCTACAATTTGATCCAACCAATAATTTAGCACTATTGATACGGAAAATGACCCAGCCCAACTAAACCCGACACATATAAAAGAAAAGACAACACACTTAAACCCTTTCTCTGCCACCAATTAACAGCTTTCATTCAGCCCCTTCTCTGTAGCAGTTCCACCGGAAATTCAGGCAATTCCCTAATCTTCTCCTTGTTAATTATAAAATTTCTTGATAATTTGATAGTAGAAAACATGTTTGATTGCTTGATTTATGAATTATTGATCAACATTTTGTTAAGATTGCCTGTCAAAACCCTTGTAATTTGCATTTGCACTTGCAGAACCCTACAATCTTTCATCACTAGCCCCAATTTCATAGCTGCTTATACCAACAAATCTAAACAAAACTCATTTGTTTTTCTTAAGTACCACACTGATTCCTTTGGAAAAAACATCAAAAGGGTCAATGAGTATTTCTGGTTACACCCAGATAACAATTCCTTAAATGTTAAGGATTTTAAGGGGAAGAATTTGCCTATGAAATGTTATGGCTCTTATTTTTATAAAATTGTGGGTTGTTGTAATGGTGTTATTTGCTTGACTTGCAACTCTAGTGCAACAAGTTATATCATTTATCTGTGGAATCCTTCCATAAGGAAATACATACATGTCCCTGATCCGAATGTCATGTACAAGACTCATGGCAGGTTTAATAATGTGTGTTTAGGGTTCGGGTTTAATGAGCTTGCCAACGATTATAAGATCATTAGGGTCGTTTACATTCATCGAATTGATTTGTTTGAGGAAGTACCTGTTCTTGTAGAGGTTTACTCTGTGAGTGCTAGGTCATGGAGATACATCGAGAACTCGAGTCCTAACCATTTACTTCAAATGCAACAATGTACGCAATGTTTCTTCAAAGGCGCTATACATTGGATGGGGTATAACCGGCTTAACCGTGGTTTAAGTGCCATTGTGACTTTTGATGTGGTGGATGAGAGTTTTGGTGAGGTGAAGTTACCAGCTTCTTTGGAAGGGTCTAATTCAAGTTTTAGGGGATTGATCAATAGAGTTTGTTGGGACATGCTTGCTTTAATTCAAGTGAATTCAGGTTGTTGTCAAATATGGGTGATGAAAAAGTATGGTGTTGCGGATTCATGGACTAAGATGTTTACATATGCTCATCCGACCTTGCGTCCAATTATGCCGGCAATAAGTATCAGAAAAAACAAGGATATTTTAATGTTGACGACGAAATCTGAGTTGATTTGGGAAATCCAAGATGCCACCATGGACAATTTTTTGCATAGGCTTCGTGCTTTCGAGAATTTCAAGGTTCCAGATATTACAATGCTTTCTGCTCAGAGAATTGGTGATAAAATGGAGGAATTAGGAGTGGTTACAGAGCCACTTAGAGAATGCTATTTGGCTTCTTATGAGGAAAGTTTAGCACTTTTCAATGAGGGAGAACCAATAATTGGTGATGTTATTGAAGACGATGCTATCAAAGATAATAATCTTCGATCACAATGATGCTGAAGATGATGGGTGAAGTGGTTAAGACAATTAACTGATTAAAAAGCTAATTTTATTAATGCATTTGTTCTCTTTGTTGGTTGGTGTTCTTGATATTTCTACTACAAGTACTATTATCTTGCTGTCAAAGTTCAGAATTAACATATCGTCTTGTCTGAAGATGAGAGTAATCATGGGGCGACTGTTGTTGGATTGAACATGTTTTTATTCTTAATTCTAGAGCATTTGGTTGCTCTAGAGGTGAAAGTAAGATTTTTCATGGAAATTATTTAATACTCAGCATGTCTTAAATGATTATATCATCTAAGTCAATAGTCGTAGTAAGGAACAAAAAAGAAATTGCTTATTACAATTTACAAAAAAAAAAAGAAAAAAAAATGTTAGGAAAAGATTTTAAGCTTTTAATTTCATGTGGTATACCCTTTTAACTGACGTTTATTGATTACAATTTAGACTTTTCCTTTTCTTTTCTGACCAATGTTTAGACTTCAGGTCTGGCAATATACCTATTTTGGCTTCCTTTAAACTTTTACAAGGCCTTAAAATTTTGTTGCAACTCTGGAAACATGTATCAGGGTGATTGTGACCTTTTTATTTTTTATTTTATTGATGTTCTTTAATGATTATTTTGATGAGGAATATTGTGTAGTTGTGTCCATTAGGTAATGATACTCTCGTGTGTATTGTGTGGTGATATCGATAATATTGTGTTGTGCTCATTATTATTGGGTGATATCGTGTGTGTAAAGGGTGATGAGGAATATTATATATTTGGTACGCTACTCTTGTATGTTTAGTGGAGACTCTATTTACTGATTTACTGTCTTAAGGTGGGCGACTGTGCTGCTCCAAATTTGGTGACTAGGAGAAGTAAAGTAGCTCATGCCTAGCTCTTTAATTGCTGAGAGGTTTATTATTCTAATGTACTCCGTATAACCTTAGTTCTTTGTTCATAGCTGAATAGAGCTTCAAAGAATATGCAAGTCTTAGATTTTCTTATGTATAGGTGGGGAGCCAGGGAAGGGTGGGGGTGTTGTTTGGGGGGGGGGGGGGGGGGGGGGGTTGGAGTGGATTGGATAACAGTGGGGTACTTAGTAGTGATTTTTACACTCCTTCAATCAAATGGATTTTAAATTTAGCAGCTTCTTTCACATGTATGCTTGATCGTACAAGACGATGGTAACTCAAAAGAGTTAAGTATGCTACTTTGTATATTTTGAAAGGTCTTTTGGATGAGGTATTGCACGGGTTTAAATATGGTTGGATATCTTGTCATATTGGACTAATACTTGTGTCAAGTTTCTAGAAATTCTAATATCAATATTGGTTTGAGTGAAATATTCCTCTTTGCTGCAATCCTCCCTGGCACCTTTGATCTCTCAAATATCATGTTTGAATCCAATAATCTTACAGATAGTTATAATGCAGTAAGATATATGTGTATAATGTATTCACTGTACGAATCTTTACTCTGTACATTTCTGTCTTTGCTTGATGGTCTGTTGGAGGCTTGGAGTCTGTAATATTGATATGGGGAAACATAAATTCTCATATAAGATCAACGCAATTTAATCATTAAGAGACCAGCCTACTTACTATATGAACGCACCCTTTAACTCACATATGCGAGTGGTTAGCTGGAGAAGTTTCTTTTTGAAGCTTGGAGTTGTTGTGACAGTGTCAGAATATGCATTCAGCTACTGTTTTCTATTCATTCTTGAAAGTCTTAACGAAACATTGTAAGTTGTAATAAATGGGAAATTCACTTGTACTGACCTTTTTCATGTTATTTCCTGTTTGTCAGATGGATGCAGAATAATGGAGAGGATCAATGGCAATGGAATTGATAAAAGGTGGAATTTGGAGCACTTCGTAACATTTTGCCAATGTAATAAACTCGAGCGTTTAGATTTGAGGATTAATTGCTTCCTTTAGTACTTATCAATTAATCTGTACTCCGTAAGTTGTCTAAGCTGCCAATCATTTCATGTATGTTGAATCTTCAGAGCTATGGATATGAAATATTATTGAAGTCTATGCTACATATTTGTGATATTTAAGTGCTGTTGGTATATTTTGGTAATATTGAATTCGTAGAGCTCTAAAGCTACCACATTTGAGCTTGTCAAGTTCTCGCTTGGGTCTCGGGCATGAAAATTGTGTTAATATTATTATCAGCGTATACTTGCTGGAGTTGTGATTATGTGCCTAGGTAATTAGTTTGATGTCGGAATGCAGTCTATTACTGGTAACCAGGTGGTGGGCTAAGCAGAGCATAGCCCTTGTAAAGGCAGATTTTTTGTAAACTTCTCCCCTGTGAGGTTGGGGGGTCGCGTTCCTTCTTAATGTAGCTAATGTGGTTAATGTTGTTATCCGCCTTTACTGTTTTTGGTAGGAAATGGGATGAGGGCGTTCCTTTCCTACCTCCTACGATAAGTAAGTCTCCTCTTCTTCATGCAGAGATTTGTTCATTGGGCAACCTCATGGATCTAGGCAATCAAGCCATGCACATACACATTTTTTCATGCGGTAAATTTTTTTTTGATTGCTTCGCCGTAATGATTATTTCAAGATGCAGATAGAATCATCGAGATTTTAGCACTCTTATTTTTTACGGGCAGTGATATAAAAGAAATTTTTATCCTGGTCTTGGGTACTAGCTCTAAAGATTTCAATCAACTAGGCTATAGTCAAAGTTAGTCTATAAATAGTGAAAAAATTCAAAATTTATCAATTTTTATAGATTAAGCTAGATCTCGTGTCATGCATGATAATTTCACTATATTGATTTTTTATTTTTATTTTTATTTTTGGTATAAAATAACATAAGTTAAATACAATTATAACATAAAATAACATGTCATGCTAGATCTCATGCCATGCACACGGCAATAACATGGTCATAGGCCTCGTACCAACCGCGTCAAGAAAATGGAAATCCTGTGTTAAATTTGTAAAATTTGATGGGCAAACAACACTTTGTTGAGTCCAATTGGTCATAGTCTAACTGCCTACAGTTGGAAGTTGACACAACAACCGGTAAACAAATAAATTTTAGTTTATCCTCCTCCAAAATATATGAATGAGCCCTCGCACTCCAAAAACGCTACACGTAGAGCTGTCAATTCGGGTAAACAAGTCGGGTTTGGGTCGGGTAAGTGTGGGTCGGGTCAACTCGGGTCGGGTCATTTCGGGTTAATGCCGTAACCTATACAGGTCGGGTTCGGGTTGGGTCATGCTTGAGTCGGGTAACGTCGGGTCATACATCTTATCGGGTTTGGGTCGGGTTAATAACAGGTCGGGTTACATTCGGGTCGGTGAATAATAGGTCGGGTTTAATCCAGGTTTTCACGGGTTAAAACGGGTTAGGGTCATTCTCGGGTTCGAGTCGGGTTCGGTTCAAGTCAATAATTTGCGGGTTATAATCAGGTTGGGTCATTCTCGGGTTTGAGTCGAGTTCGGTTTAAGTCAATAATTTGCGGGTTATAATCAGGTCGGGTCAATTCCAAGTCGGGTCATTCTCGGGTTCAAGTCGGGTTCGGTTCAAGTCAACAATTTGCGGGTTACAATTAGGTCGGGTCATTTACAAGTCGGGTCATGTTCGGGTTCAAGTCGGGTTTGGTTCAAGTAAAAAAATTGCAGGTTATAATTAGGTTGGATCATTTCCAAGTCAGGTCATGTTCGGGTTCAGGTCTCAAATATTGGGTTAATCTGGGTATCGGGTTGATTTCAGATCGGGTCATATCAGGTTCGGGTACATTTTTTAATTTGGGTTGGTTTGTTAACAGTTCATGTAATGACAATCACGTTTAATCATTATCAATTACTTCATTTATTGTAAGAGAAATAATTTCAGATAAGTTTTAATTCGAGGTAATAAGTTCTAATAAGTTTAGATAAGATCTACATTATAAGTTCATATTAATTTCAATAAGATAGGTTTAGTTTAGATTTTTAGAAGATAAGTTCAAACCCTATTCTAATCTATTCACATTGATTCCACTCATTTTAGGGATAACAATTTCAGATAAGTTCATATTCGAGATGACATGTTTAGATAAAATATAATAAGTTCATATAAATTCGGATAAAATAGGTTTAGTTTAGATAAGTTAAAATACAATAATTTTTTTTCTAAATTTATTTTATTTGAAATTATCTAAACTTGTATTTTTTTTTTATAAGTTCATATCCGAGTTCACGTTTTTTTTAATGGCATTTTTTTTTTAACATTTAAATGGCATTATTCAAAACATTTAAATAAGATTAAATAGGCAAATGAATAATAAAATTAGAAAAATAAAAGACCAATAAAAGCCTTTTAACAGCTCTAGTTCGGGTCACCGACCACTTTCTCGAGTCCAGACTAGTCAAGTCATAATCGGGTACAGGTAAATTATTTGGGTCAGATTATCATCTGGTCATTGTCATATACTCATGCTTGCATTTAATCATTATCACGTTCAATTCAATCATTATCCGAAATTATTTTTTTTTAACTTTTTTTTATTTGATTTTTTTATTTTTTATTTTTATTTATAAAATATAAGATAAAACAAACAAGCCTAAGGTCAAATAGTATTTGTAAACCGTAATTGACTACATTGATGCACATACACCTACAAAGTAGTAGTATTCGTATACCATAATTGCTTAATTGAAATATAGAATGAACTTGCACCTAAAAAGTAGTAGTATTCGTAAATCGTAATTACTAAATTTTAATAAAGAATGCACATGCATCCAAAAAGTAGTGGTATTCATAATGTTTTATAGGTTTTTATGAGACATATAAATTGTATTACATTTGATAGTAGAGAATTTTATTGAAAATATTTGAATAAGCTTAAATAGGAAAATAACTCATAAAATTAGGGAAAAAAAAAAGATATGACGTAATCCTAGATTGCTAGTTAATTTCGGGTCAATAAAAAGTCGGGTTCGGGTCGGGTTAGTGACAGATCAGGTTGAATTCCGGGTTGGGTTAGTAATAGGTC